ATAGCCTCTCAAACAAGAAAAAGCATCCTTCCAAGACATGTACCTATCACAGTCCTAACTTTGTGTGTAGTTGCATCCTGTTCTCTTTGGCTCCATCTACACATTACACTTAAGGCATGGTTAACCATTTAATCGTGCCTTAAGTGGCCACCTAGCCACATGTTCAATCAGTTAATGGCATGATAAAGAGAAGAATAAGCTACAAAGTTATCCTACAAAATATGTGTAATAACTCTGCAGTTGCTTCCTATCACACCATTAATTGAATGTGTGACCAAGGGCAACTGTGGCAGAGAGCCCTGTCAGCTGATCAACGCTCCCAACTGGGGGTGCCCATGTGCACCACCAAGCCTGGGAGCTCCCAACTGACAGAGCTCTCAGCCATGGGGCCCTTCAGATAGCCCTGCAGCCAGGAGACTGCAGCTGCTATGACCTCCCATGCATCCCTGTGGCTAGGAGATCAGTTGCTACAATCTCCCAGTTGCAGGGGTGTGTGGGGATGCCCCCATGACTGAGAGATTGCATCAACTGTTCTTCCAGCATCAGGGGTGTATGGGGTGCCCTTGCGGCTGGGAGCCCTGTCAACTGAGAAGGATCCCAGCTTCAGTAGTTTGCTTCTTGCTGGTACAGGGAAAGCCTAGGATCAGGCTCCTCCTGCATTGGCAGTAACATGTGATGGGATCTAATGCATGATCCACACAATAATGCTTCCTTCCATGCAGCTGTGGCAAGGCAGGAGGCATGATTGTGTAGATCGTGCATTCAATCCCATCACTCCTTTATCTGCACATGTAGAGGGCCCCTTCGTTTACTGTTAACCTTGCACCATTTTCCACTGTAAATTCTTTGCAGAGAGACTGTTTTATTACTCAGCACAAATGAATAGCATGGACTTAGGCACATCTGAGAAAGAAATGATTGGACTTTGTGTCCTATATGAGAAACGGTTGAGTGTTACATCCCGAAAGCGCAATCTCTCACAGAGAAGTAGTGAGTCCCCAGGTACCAAAACCAGATAGACTGCATAATTGTACAGCATGAAGATTTAGATGCTGTTGTGCTTTGCAGTCTACAGGCATATGTTAATATTTTGATGCACACATTTTGTTTAACCCCCTATTTACACAAAGGGCATATACAAAATGGTTCTAACTGGTATTTGTCTTCGACTGTTCATTGCACCTGGGAAAGGCATTACGTGCCCAAGTTTTCCCCTCATTTCTCTCAACTCTAAAGCTGGTCCAATAAAAGCTCCTACCACACAAATCTTGATTCACTGACACATAATAGCATTTGACTGAGACATTATATAACAGTCAGACCGGCACCAAAATACTCTACCCCACAGCCACGTTGATGTCAAAACCGCTGGAGGCAAAAAAGTAGCAAAAATTTCTTTTTTTTAATAGTAGTAGTTGTTTACTTTGTGTCACCTCACCTTTAAGAGCTGTTTGGACTCCCGTAATTTCTGTTGCTTATGATCAGAATTTGTATAATGAGAGGTGGGTTCTGAATAAACTCTACTTTTTTTTTAATCCTGGCTTATTTCCTAAAGGAAGTAAGGACAAATCTTGTAGACCACAACTTGACATCTGGCCTTCTGAACAATTTAGTCTTCAAAGATGTTTCTCTAGGCCTGTTGTCAGCCAGATCCCACATATTATTCAAAACTGTTTTCAGTACAGCAGCAACAGTTCCTATAACAAAGTGGGATTCTTGGAAGAATAGGAAACACTAGAACTCTTTTAAGGGGGAGAGAGGGGGGGGGAAGGAAGGAAGGAAGGAATTATTGCCAAACGGCTTTTTAGAGCTGGTTCAGGTTCATGTGACATATGGGGTAGTGTCTCATTGATGAGAAAGGACTGATGAGAGAAAACATCAGGTCAAATGTAATGTCACAGTAATTAGAAGCCAGAAGTGTCAATATTTAAGCAATGAAAAAAGAAATTAGCTCTGCTTCTGCTAATTGTACAAGCACTAAAGTTATGCCTGAACTGCAAACTTTCCATGCATACCCATATCCTCAAAACTGATTTCTCTTATACTCAGAAGTGAGTACAGCTTGCAAGCTTAGTTCACAGTGGGTAGCAGTGGCCACATCTACATGTTCATTTTAATGTGCCGTAGCCTATTTTACTGTACGTTAGAGCATCATAGCAAAACCCATGTTAATATGCTAATGCACAGTAAAATTAAGCTACTGCACATTAAGCATCACTAAAAAAGGATGTGCTTTTGCTACTGTGCATTAGGACAGCCTAATGCGCATTTTTGAGTACCTCATATTAGAAGTACTAAACTTAATGCACAGTAGCAAAAGCACATTAATGAACATGCAGATGCACCCAGTATGTATCTGGGCTAAACTGCAACCTGCCTCACTACCTACTCATTTAACAATCTGGATGATGCATATCTAAAGGACTGGAATGCCCTCCCACAGTTCCCTACACCTGTACAAGTACTTCAAAGTGGTTATACATAGCTAATCCCTGCTTAACAAAAATAAGGAGAATTTCCCCAAGACACAAATTTAATTGGAGTTCCAGGAATATATACTATTACTAGGCTGTCTGGCAGCAGACAATGCAGATGTTCACATCTGGGACTGGCTAGTAGTGCTGGGACCAGGTCAAGCATTTTTATGTAACAGTACTACCAAGTTAAAGATAGTAATAGGTGGACTGGCAATGTAGTTGCTAAGTGACCCTGTGATACTGAATTTGAAAAAGCACATGTCGCTGCCTCCAGCAGAGAGTGGTCTGCTTCCTGTCACTTCTTTCTTATACTGATGGACCCGATATACAGAATGGCTGATCTCAAGACAAGATCCTAAGTATGATGCAGTTTGGTCAGTCTGCAGTTAATCATTTGCAAATTGCTGAGGGCACTGTTCCAGTGGGCATCCTGAGCCCTCTGAGAATCTGTCTGGGGTGAAATCAAAAATAGCCATAGACAAACTGAAGCACCAGGACTGGGAACAGCCTCAATACAGTAAGTGCTGAGTACCAAGTTGGTCATTCTTGTCTGGGAAGTTTCACAGAAGGGAAAGATGTCCTGACTTGTCTCTCATACAAACAATATTACAGAGACCCCAGAGTGTGTTCAAGTTCAAGTAAAGGAAGACTATAAGCAGTGAATTTCCATAGCTCATTTTATACCCTACTTCCCCAGCCACATGTATTCAAAGATAACTGATACGAATATGTTCTTCTATCACTAGGCTCCTAAAACTTCTCCCTGGTATAACCCTACACCAGTAGCCTGAAATGCCATATCTCCTTTCCATTTAGGGACCTCTAGAACATGCTTTTATGATAGGTTGGCCAACCTGAAAAGATAACATCTCATGCCAATAACAGAGGCCTTGTTATGATTCAACCCCTCTCCCTCCAAATATTTAGCACATGTAACATTTTTTAAACATTTTTAAATGTAATTTGTAAAGGATTACAGAGTGCTTTCATTAAATGTATTGAGCTGTTCTATGACCAAGTTGGCCAACGGTTAGGGCAAACTTCTGTTCTCTCACATCCTCAAATAAATAATTTCTCTCATTTTCATAGCCTTGGTAGCCACTTCCAGATCAAAAGGGCCAGCCATACCACTTACTGGGGAATAGTACCTCTTGCAGTTTACCTATTTGCTTGTTCTTTCAAAACTGCAAACTACACACACATCACTAACGTAATACAGTTCTGTAAACCAGCATTCCCTGAAAGCCACCCTATTATTCCAGGAATATTCTTCATGTCTGCTATGTGCATGTCAATGCTAGTATCTGCCATCTAGATTTTGGCAACCATTCTACAAAGGTGGTGAGCCACATGACTGTAACACTCTGGGGGAGCCAGCTTCCAGAATGCAACAGCATTCTACTTCTGCATCAAAATGGACTCCTTTAGTCAAATCAAGCTCCTCACACGGTTCCACAAAGGCCTGCTTCTTCATGCAGAAGGTTCAGAACTACTTCTGGCCATCTCCAGGTCAGCAAGATAATACATTCTTACCTTGCCATGTTACTTAAATGCCAAAGATGCTGGCATACCTATATAGATTGCATAGCAATTGGACACATGATGAGTGCTACAGTCAGCTGTGAATACTGTGAATACATTGCCTTCATGCTCAGAGCTTGGCACCCCTTCCACATTCCAGAAAAGTCAAACATCTCCTGGAGCACCTACCCCACAGCAAAAATTGGTGGACCCCACTTAGCTGTAGTTTCTTTAATGGATACCTGATTAGGGCAGCTGACATGAGTGAAAAGTATTAAAGAGCCTACAAAGATTCAGATGAGGGATGGCCAAGATCACTTAAGAAAAGGAAAGCTGTCTTGTGGTGTATTATGGGACAATTTCTAAAGAAGCTACACTCAATACTGAAATAGGGGACCTGGAACATGCCCTCAGAAGTCCTTCTGCTGTAAGCATACCTGGAAAAGTCATGCAGACAAGGTTATGCAGGGGTGGCACCAGTGTGGCAGTGAAGAGACTAGCTGATACAGCTCAAGCTCACATGAGCACACAATGAAATGTTGATGGACTATAAGGTTCAATGGATTAAAACAATAGGTGCCTTTCTCCAAAATCCAGCATGGCAAATTTCACACTTCCATGCAAAAACAACATCTTTTAAACTTGTGGGGGACAACTTTTTTGGCAAGTGTGCCACAATTAGCCTGGCACCCTCCCCAAGTACCATACAAATCCTTTCCCTTGGCCTGATCAGCTGCTCTGCTTTCTGCTGCCAGCCCTGTGCTCCCCACCTGATCTGCTTCTCTGCTTTCTGCTTCCTTCCCTCTGCTCCCTGCCCAATTTGCTGTCTTGCTTTCTGCTTCTGTGGCAGTGCTGCCTGTCCTCTCCCCCACCTGCCATGTCCCATGCAAAGGCTGTCCATGCCACTGGTTGTCCAACCCTGTGTTACATAATGCCGTCAAAATAAAATCTTTAGTTATAGATGTATTGTCTCTTTTGTGTAAATATAATATACTATATAATATAATGTAGATGGTTCTCTAGGAAGGTAGAAGATATAAACATCTTCCCTTATGGCTTCTATCACTGCTGTTTGTTAAAATTCTTATTTGATAAGTAAGGCAGTTTTCAGGTTACTATGGCAGCCAGTTCCATTGCCTAGGTGACAGAGCACTAATGATGTCATTGCTAGCCTATCCCCCCCACACACTAGGCATATTATCAAATTTAAAATTCTTGGAAGACGATTGACCTCAAACTGATGTATAGCTACAGACCTTACATGACCTGAATCATAAGCATACTATACTGATAGCTAGGAGTTTACTTTGTTTAGAAAAAATATTTTTGGTACTGCCCCTATAAAAAGTCTCTCTACTTGGATTACCTTTACCCAGTATGGTGTTAATCAGAGTGTGACAGCCAGAACCAGAGGGGTTAAATCAATAAATATATGCTCTTGGAGATATCTGGTAATTGTCTGACAGTTAATATTAGCTAATGCAAAGCTTGCAAGTTTGTAACCCGCAAATGTAACTTGTCTATCATAAGTTTAACAGAAGTGTTGAAACTAACTGTCTGCACTGATCACGGGGCCCAAAAATAAAACTGCAAATATCAGCTAATCTAAGAGTTCTTACTTAAGTTTCAGTTATAACAACAAACCCTGACCACAAAATATAATTAGCACCTTTCATAAATCCAAGGAGGAGCTGAAAAAGAGAAAGAAACCAAGGGGGTTACTTGGGCGGAGTAAATGCTAATCTCAAACCCCAAAGTGATGTGCTGTGATTTGCTTATTGAGTGAGTTCAAGTTTAGGCAGTAACCTTTTATGATAATTTCTAACACCACCTAATCCCATAGGGTAACAGCTGTAGGGCAATTTGTGAGTGGCTCTGAGCTAACAGATTAGCATAAGATAATGTATAAAGGAGCACATACGTCAAGTGACCAGCGTGAAGGACAGGATAGAAGGACCATCGCTGTACCAAGCCTGGACCCCAGACTCCCAGTGTGAGCAAGGACTGGATCCTGATCTAGGCACCTTCCCAGTGACCCCTCAGGCAGCGTTGATCAGGCACACTTGACTTTGCTGGAACAACTTGGCGTGCACCTGGCGTACAGGGACTGCTGATAAGTTGCCAACCCCATGTGGGAACTCTTTGTCATTCTGTCCATCTGTTATTATTCACTAGTAGCTTTTTATTACTGTACAATCTGTTTGTCACATTAACCCTTCTGTTAGCTGTTGTATGCTAAGCTATAAGTAAATTTGCTTTTACTTTACTCCCAACTTGCCTCCTTGATCCCGAACCCAGCAGCCTAATGGAAAGCCAAGGCTACAACTAAACTCCAACTAGTTTCCAGCATCAAGGACAATAAAAAGTCCTTTTTCAGATAT